CACCCATATGGAGCTGTAAAGCCATTCATGCGTGTCTACACTAGATCATGGCAAGATTGGCAAGGTGTTCCCCTTCACAGCTCTTAATGCTAAACAATGCAATTGGCATGTCATTGTAACTTGGACGACTTGACTCGACCTGAAGATCCTCCAAAAATGGAAAGGATAGGAAAGGCACAGATTCTAAATATTTTACAGTCTTGTTGTTCTTGTTCTTGTTATTGTTCTTGTTGTTGTTGTTGCTTGGTCGATCGATTGCGGATGACTCCATGACCCCCAACTGTTTGATGGATCCTCGTACCAAGATTCGTCCGACGCCGTCCCATCACCGCCTCCTTGGGTCAGGTGATGTAAGATGATGTAAGCCTATGATGCTCTTGTCACCTGGTGAACAAAGTACCATCCCTGCCATTGCTGTCACCCTGGGCTGTCATGAGGTAAGCCGAACCTGTTCAAAAAAGGTGAAAAAGGACCATCGTCGCTGCCATTGCGGTGGCCGGGACACCGCAGGATTTATTTTGCAGTGCCTGCTGCACTATGGGGGCTCTGTCCCACAGGCGTGGCGGCACTCCCCCTTGGGATAGACGATGATAGACGCGGATCGTAGAGCACAGTCAGATGAATGTGTTTGCTCTTCTAAGATTGTTGTTATTTCAATGGGCCTCCCAGGTAGATCTACTTTTCTATCCTCTTCATAAGTTTCAGCACCTGTTGCCGCATGCAGTAGGCATAGCTGTTTGCTGGAAGATGGCAAGCTAGCTGAAGCCCTCGCAATTGCAAGCTGTATTGATGGCCCACCCAAGCCAAGCCAAAATGGCAAAGGCCAACCCCAAGCAGCCTTTTTGTTCCTTGACCCGCAGACAGGCAGTTGGTGGAATTCTAGATGGTTCACTGCCACCACAGATCAAAGCATTGCCCATCGGCATGTCCATAGGAGTGGGCTCATGCTGTGGACAGTGGACACATGGAAACCAAACATCCTGAACATGCCGTACCAGTATGTACCAATGGTTTCTTTGGAAGCGAAGCTTGCATCAACTTGCAAGTTACTGTACATGGTATTGTTTATCCAGCCACCTGAGAACCACTGCTTAATCATTCTCACTTGCAGGAGCCGAAACGGCGGCCGCCGAGCAGCCCTCTCAATCGAGTCTATCAGCTGAAGACAAGCAGCTGATCCTGAACCAGGCATGGCACATCGAAGGGCATGACAACTGACAAAGCCCATGTGAGAAAGAGTATTTCTTGGGGCTGCGAAGCTTCACCAACCTTTGCAGACCTGTGTTTTCTTCCTGGAGGAGACGCCTTGAACGCCATACTGTCCTGGACCTGTCAATGCTTCCCCCGCAACTTTATCAACACATCTTTTCGGGCTATTCAAAACGGTGGCACCCAGTGGTCCATTCCTTTGTCCCATTTTCGACCCGGCGGTTCTTGCCCTTCCCAGGCTGATCGGATCGAGGGCTCCGATGTGGAGGTGGAGAAATACAACGACGACTATGACGACGAAGAGGACGTACGTTCGACGAACGGGACAAGACGCACTGGAAGTATTCGGAAGTTCACTTCGAAAACGGGGATGGTGCAGACCAATGGTTTACTGTACACAATGGTTTTGGGTTATATAAGCACCTTTCTATTTATTATTTATTGTGTTTTACAATAACACACGCGAAGAACGGAATTGTTTCGACCTGGGTTTCTGGGTTTGTGGGAGGATCGTTTGGGAGACAAGCATTGGTCCAATGGCTAGTAAAACAGAACGGGTGGTTCCTTTCTCTTGCTTGCCATCTAAAGGCAGGCTTGGCACATCTCCAGATTAAATGGGTCTTGGCAACAATTCTAGGGGGATGATGGATTGCTTTTGGGCTGACCCGTCCACTGCCATTTGCCACAGAATCATGATGTGATGTGGCAATTGATTCTAATCATTATGTAAGTTATTTTCAGGTCCCATCAGCATCCACCTCCACCTCCCAAAAAAGGCTAGCAATGAGGCCCCGTTTTCTAGCAAGCCCGGAGGTGGTCCCGCCAAGAGGACTTGGACTTGGCTAGGGGCATTTTGCACTTAAAGTTTTTGTTAAACCTCTTTCACTTTTCAACAACATCATTTGCACTCATACCCCATATGACATAGACCATACATCTTGGCTCCCTGTCCATTAAACAGCTGGCCTTTGGTCGGTGCCTCAAGGCCGTGGGCATGCCTCGCTTAGCTGCTGGTGCTGCTTCGGATTGGGAGGACGACTTTGGCTCGACCGAGCAACGGTGGCGATGACTTGGGCGATGGTGGGATCTGAAGAAACGTCCCCTTTGGGCGGAAGAGATGCCCCCATTTGCGCGGCGGTGTGCCGCGTGCAAATACTAGAGATGGGAGAAAGTGTCATACGAGACCCACCCAAGGCGTAACCTTCAAACTTGTATAGATGGACAGCATTTGCGGGGTGCACTGCGGCTTGTGCGTGTGCATTTGACGAAGACGGTTTTTGAGAGGACCGAAGCGAAGAGGAGGAGGAAGGAAGTAGTGATGAAGGTCCTCAGTGGAGCAATGACAGGCTGCGCACTGCTGTCCTGTTGCGCTTGTGAGTTTTTGAGGATGGTGTTCTTGAGCGTTCACGAATGTTCACGAGCAATGGTGTTCTTGAGCGTTCATGAGTAAAATCCACTGCACGCTGCACGCTGCGGCGCTTTTGTGAACTTTCGGTGTGCCAGGATGCGCGGCGGGCGTCTCAAGGGCAAGGGCAAAGGAAAGGCAAAGAGCTCTGGACCCACGCAAGGTCAGACCTTGCAGGCGGTGCAGATGGTTGGCCAAGCAGAATCTGGATGAATCACATACTGTATAAGTAAGTATAATTATACTTATATACTGCCTTATAATCATTGAGTTTTTTACGTGTATAAGATATTTCAATACGCTGATTCCTGAGCTTGCGAAACACATTGAGCACATAGCATTCGGCGATTCAGCATAAACCACCATCCTGAGCATGATCGAAATGTCGACATCTTGGAGGCCCGGCGGAAGGAGGCCCACAAGGCACAGGTCGCGAACCACAACCGCCGAGACGCCGCCATGCGCCCCTCGGTGCCCGGCACCGTGGGTCGGTTCATGCGGTCGCGGTCGCAACTGGAGCGACGATTCAAGATGGGATGTGAATCATAAAGTCTCCTGAAGGAGACGCATTTTTGGGTGTTCGTTCATTGTTTTCCAACTCCCATTCACTCTAGCCGCTAGCACCGCCCAGAATAATTAGAGCTGGATGTGTTCATGACCTGCTGTTCACTTTGCTCAGATCTTGGCAGTCACGGACCAGAATCTTGCCATGCCACCGAGGCAAAATGGCACGAGGCCTTTAAGCTGCCGAAAAGGCGAGGGAGTTTTCTTTTCGCGTATCCACGCATGACTCACAGCATGAAGGTTCAAGCAGCCTTCTATGCATGTGGAGTACATGAAGACCACTTTGAGCACCACTTTGGAGAAACTTCTTGAACACTGGGCCAATCCAGGCCAGGAACTGTAGGTTTTACATGGTTCTAGTTAGATTCTGAGTTTTACCAGCAGGTTTGGACCCCATGTTGTTAATTTTTCACCCCTAGGCGCATCAAAGAGATCCGGGCGTCGGAGTCGCTGAGCCGTGCGACGGCTTGGGAGGCGGTGGAGTCAGCAGAGGTAGCGAATCAGAGAGGATACAGGTAGAGGATGGGCTGGGTAACCAATATAGTTTTTGGGCCCCATTTGAACCAAAGAAAAGACATTTGCCACATAAAACTGTTAATATCCAGTCAGGTATGGCAGGATTTCAAGCACACTTCGAGTTGACTCCAGTCGCGAGGTTGGCGCTTGTACAGGTCGGAGGACGCACCGTCCCTGAGAGTCCAGGGAGCTGATCTCTTATTCAAGAGACAGAGGCGACACCCCCCCCCCACTCAGATGATCCGGAGACTCTGATTTCGCGCTGTGTGAATGGGCTGCGCCGATCGGATCTAGATTGCGAGGGCCACCACAAAGGCACTGCCATAAGAAGATGCGATGTGAGCACATGTGGGCACAATGAAGAACTTATGCTTCAGAGATGAATACTGTTTGGTGTTCTTTGCAAAGGGGTGGGCAAATAGCAAGGGGACGGATAATGTAATCAGGAGACGCGCAAATGGCGTGAAAATCTAGGCAAGTCTTTGGCACCCCATGCATGCAAAGTCGCGAGTTAATCAGGACTTTTGGGGAGCATTTATTTTCCGCTAGACCCCACCACGGGGTGCCAGGCGACGCTTCGGAGCGGGAGAAGAAATCAAACGCATCAAAGAAAACAGCCTGCTATGCGGACGTAAACATGATCCCGTCACCGAGGTTTATCTTTCATTTGGCATCTTGCACAGCAACACAAGTAATTATAGCATTCAATAGTGCTATTTCCTAGATGCGATCTCCTTCACTCTTGGATTTGGGTGGTTGAGATTCCGGGAATCCTCCCCGAGTTCAACAACCACATGCGGAGAGACCAGACCACTATAGAGTCCATCCTCCAACAGACCAACGTTGGTCCTGGAAGCTCCGAACGCCCCTGGCCTTGGACAGTGCGGCCAGTCCGTAAAAAGGAACTCCGCACCTTGGGGGCATTGGAACATCAAATCAGAACATGTGGCAGCGGTTTTGACTGGTGAGGCACTGGTGGCCATAATACTTCCTGGATGAATCAAAATTGAATGTTATTATGGCATATTATGGCTGAGGGTATCCCGGAGAGTGAAGCATCCTGCAGAGCCCGTATTGTAATTGCTGGTGGCAAGGTTCTGCATGTTGGAGCTTCGACAAAACCTCGGACAGGAGCTGTGTAAAAGCTTCAAACGTAGAAGCATTGATCCATTGAATACTGCGGTGCAGATCGGTGCATTGGTCAGTTGATGAATAATACACCCCGACCGGAATGATTTTACATCTCACCGACTGGGTAGCTTGAACAGTCTATCGACCCGATTAATGCTTGTCATATCGACCTGAGGCGCGCCCAGCTAGCGCTGGCGGTGCGCCAGCTCTTGAGCGCCATGCGGCAGCTACCTGGTGCCGCTGCCCAGCTGCATGCTGCAGTGGAGCTTCAGCGAGACGACGGCCACCGCGATGGAGGAGAAGTTCAGTGGTTGGGCTGCCGTTGTTGTTGAACGTGGACACAAGGAACATGTTGTGCAAGAATAACTAAATATTTGAGAGTTTTGAGCCAGAGCTTCCAAAGCTTGGGCCTTTGGAGAGCATGATGGTCCTCCAGTTGGTGATTCCATCTCTGGAGAGCCCCCATTGGCGGCTTTCCTGGTAAAGAATGTGGCTGTCGCTCCATATCACCCAGCAAGGAAGAAAAGCAGTTCCCTTTTCTCCGACGTGTGAGTCAGTATCAGATCTTTATGATGGTCTTGATGGGGAGAGAACACAAACATCCGCATGCAACAGGCAACACTTCACATGTCCCTTCGATCCCCTTGAGACTTACAGCTGGTTGGCCCACAAGCGCCGGGGTTGAAGTTCTCCCTCCAAAGGCCGATCATGTTCTTCCCACTTCACTCGGCCTCACAGGGTCACGCCACGGAAGTGCCCATTGACACCACGCTTGCGCGGCGGTCAGTGTGAGAAATTGTCATGTCCATCTCGCTTTGGTCTACGACTCTACGAGTTCATGTTGAGCGATGGCAGGAGATGAGACCAATCCCAAGCAGTTTGCCCTTGGAGCTCGATTCTTGGTGTGAGAACGGCTCACCCAGCGGCACTTGTTTATTCACCTCATAGGTGACACGTGTTGTCTGCTTTCTGGAGCAGGCTCTTTCTCGAGCCAAAAGGTTGCTTTTCGAGCTCATGCAACAGCTGCAATAACAATAAATGATCATATATGATCGTTGTTGGATGTTGTTGGTACCTTTTTCTGAGCAACATGTGTTCAGACATGTATGTGTATGATAATGTATAATATATTTATTACTGTGTATTAGATATATATATATGTGTATATGTACTGTACATGTGTGTGTGGGTGTGCCCATTGCAAAGATCACAGGAGGCCTTCCAGATTTACTTCCACATGATTCCACACGTTTCTTACCACATGGTGTCATTCTGGAAATGCTAAGACTTACTATATAGTACATGTTGATTTTTCCCTTGACATTGTCCGGATTTGATGAGAAGTCCAATGGAATTGACATGGGCAATATCAAGTGAGTTCTCGTGATTTGCCGTTTCGCCCGTGGTTGATGATGGCGATTGTAAATGGGTTTCACATGGTTTCATCACGATCAACATGTCATTTCACCAGGCTTAATGCGCCGGGCGCTGATGCGAATTCTCTGGAAGCAAGGGGCCTCCTTCTTCCAGCGACTGATGGTCTTCAGGCCTGCTCCGCTCTGCGAGAGGATTTGCGGAGAGCTTTCCTCCATCCGCGGAGAAACCCCATGGAGAGCATTTCAAACTCATTTTTTGGGATGCCCATTCTTGTGGCTGATGCGCGGAGGGCGAGGGGGTCTTCACAGTGCCCAGAGTGGGCCAATTCCGAAGCTTGGTTGGGCTGTATATTTTGTTGAGTTCTGGCGGTGGTGGTGAAGCAGCAACTGGTAGCTGTGACTCATCACAGTACAGAAACCGCATGTATCAAAGGATATCAAAGAGGTCTCAGTGTCAGGGCACAGACGCACTTCTCGATGACGTCGATGGGTCTTCCCTTTGGTTAAGGTGTCGTTTGTCAGCCACCGGTCCAGAGGACTGCAACGGGATTTGGCTCAAGCCACCCGCATGGGTCCTGTGGCCGCCACGAAAAGCGTTGACTCATGATTGGGGTGTATCTGGTGTGAAACAAGTTGACAGAGCATGGCATAGGTTCACATCACACCGACAGAATTAGGTGTTGGCAAGGTTCACTGAACTGCATTAGCTAGGTGAGGTAAACCTTGCCATCGCAATGGTGGACTACTCTAAGTTCAGCAAGATCGAAGATAGCGACGATGAGCCTATTTGGCAGACTCAGGCGCTCCTGTTTGAGACATGTAGCATATGGACACGTATTTTCTTTGACATTTGACACCTGTTCAGGAGTACCAACTATAACTACTACTAGCCAGGCAACATGTTGTTCCTGTTGAACATGTAGTTCTAGCGTCGGCTTGTCATGTTTGCCGTTTAAAGTTTGCGCTCTTTCAATCCCTTCCACATGTCCAAAATCATACCTCATGTGAACCCTCCGACCGAATCGGACGGATGAAGACAGGCACCAGTGAAGAGCTCAAAGGTCTCAGAGAAGGTCCTGCAGGAATTGGACCTGAAGATCGAGAAGCTCCAAACACGAAGCCGTTTTTGCCATTGCTTCTGGGCGTTCGAACGCAGAATTGGGCGTTATATATTGGCGTGTGTGTTTTTTTTTTTTGTTCGTTCAATGGTTTGCTGGCATGCTTTTACAAAGGAGAATCTTGAGGTCAACAGGATCAGCAGCGTGCTACTATACAGGTGGTTCGGAAGAAAGGAGGTTGGATAGAGGCTCATGTCAACCAGGGTATCGGAAAGGAATTGTGACCCTGCTGCCTGCCAGCTAGATGCCAAGCTGTGAATTGCCCAGCTTGTTCAAGCATCCAACCGCTAAAGGCTTCCTGGACTTTGCAGTAGATGTAGAGAAGCTGAAGATCTATGCGCAGGAAATGGAAGATGCAGGCTGAGGATTTGTGGGAATTCATGTGCACATCATGGCATTTCTATAGAACTGACCTTTTGGCGGTGCCAAGCTCCCCTGCAGGTGCGAAGCTCCCGAAGTCTCGCTATTTGGGCCGTGTGGTGGTGGAATTAGACCAGGCAGCCTTCGCTCCCAAGCTGTGCGAGAACTTCCGCTTGCTGTGCACCGGGGAGCAAGGAGTCCTGGCCACCAAGACATCAAAAACTCAGTGATCCAGTTTTTGGCATTCAAGAACATTCAAGAACTCATGTTCTAGGGAGATTCAAGTTTTGTCATGTAATGCTTGGTTTCTGAATGTTTCTGACACATATTTCTGGGTGCCAACATGTTTGAGAGTTTGGTACGCCGATTGGTGAAATTGATTGTTGAATGGACATGCACAGGATAAATGGAGATTCGTTCTATCATGTATTCTATCCCAGAGCAGTCTCATGGATCAAACCAAGGAACTGGTGTCCGAGGGCAGCGACTGTCTTATCAGGGAAGGCATTTAGACTCTCAGCTTGGGAAGGGTGCCAAGAATGTGCAAGCCAAGAGTGCTGATAGCCTAGGATATTGAAGTGCAATTAAGAATAGCTACATGTATAACAAATATATTTATATATTTATGCATGATGTATATGCCAAACAAATGTAATTGCAACATATAGATGTATGATTTACTAGAGATTCTAACATATTCAAACTTGGTGGCCGAGATTCTTTGTCCTCTTTGACATGCATTTGCATCTCTTTCGGAGAGCCAAACTGCCTTACTTGGTGTTCATTATACCTTACTCAGTGTCCATTTTACACATGACTGTCCTCGCCGACTGTCCTCGCCTCCTTTAGTGTGCAAAGACTGTTTGCCTAAGGACTACATCCTGCCCAAGTACTGCATACAAGCATCTGTCCCGGACGAGTTCTCTTGTTGGGGCAGCTATTTGCCAGACGAGAACCTGGTTCTGCCTCAGGCTTCTTTCGACAAGCCTGGAGTTCTTGGACTGATTTATGTTTTTGTACGCTGAGCCCTCGCTGTCCAAAGGCTGTAAAACACATCAGTGATGTTGGGTAACTTTCCTCTATGCTTTCGATATCTTTCGGTCAGCGGCAGCTCGTCACTCGGTGGCTTCTCCCGTCGTTGGGACTCCTGAGGTGCTGGCCGTTGGAAACCATGGGCCCGATACCAACAGCTGTACCTTCATGATCACGCTGAATGAAGCCTCACACCTGGATGCTTCAAATGAAACAAGAAGGCTTATGGCTTATTGTTGCAAAAACATGTGCTTTGTTCTTCTTCTCCAGAGAGTCCAAGAGTTGGTTGTTTTTCGTTGATATTCCAAAGATTCCCAGCTCAGCACCCAGGATGGCTTCAATCAGATCATTGGCCACGTGGTGAGAGGCCTCGAGGTGCTGCGGATGATCGAGGGTTTCCCCACGGACCGGAAGGTGCAATCCTTTGCGGAGCGGAATGTGAAGTCCCACTGGGGGGGTCGGCCCATGGTGGATGTCATCATCGAGAGTTGTGGGGAGATGTCCGAGGAGCTGATTCCCGGAAGTGATGGGGGGTTGTGAGAGTTTGTTGGAAGGCAAGACATGGCAAGACTGGAAAGTACCCTTCATCCAACAAACATGGAAGTGGCCCCTTGGAAGACCGTTTTCCTCTACTATCAGTTTACCACTTGCATGATTGTTGGATGGAGGATAATTAGTTAATTAGATGTAATTGGCACCCGGAAATGTATCTCGTGTTGTGATTCTTCCATGTTCAGCCTTTTGGAGGATGCAAGAAGCGAGTGGGGCTCATGTTTTCGATCACACATTGCGTTTCGAGGCGGTCCTGAGAGGAAAAGCTGATACCTGCGTGTAGAGCTGGAACCAACAAGTCATGCATATTCTACTTCTGACCTCAGGAAATCCACAAACGGACAGCAAGTATAGGCACCCGGACAGCAAGTATAGGCACCCACCGGCTGGCAGAGTCTGGCCGTGTGGCGCCCCGCCCCCAAACCTGCCCATCTCGCCAGCAGCCCGTTGCGTGATGTAAGGATAGTGCTGAAGTGAGCCGAAGAAAAAGAGCACTGAGCCGAAGAACGTCAATTTTCTCCACAGCATCAAGGCAGACGTCAACGATGCGTCTGAAGGGTGAGGGTTGGCCTGTGGAGGGTTGGGTGATGGTTGCTGTGATTTAGATGCTGTAGCATGCGGGTGGATGGGACATGCATATGTCATATACGAATCATTATGTCATTATGAATCAATGAAACCCTCAACCCTGGCTTGGACCGTGATGTTATTCTTCCCCTGTGCACCTCCCAAGAGAGACCCAGAGGATTCCTGGAATCATTTCAAGTCATCGGGCTTTGCCAATGTTCATATGTAATTCGTGGAGTCACAGGGTACTTCATGAAACTGGAGCCCTGGTCCACCATGTCACGTACACGACCCTGTCACGCCGGTACCGGCCATGACTCACAGCCAAAAGATTTGATCATGTTGTTTCCATGGCATTCCTGGATCTCTCGGTATATCTCGGTACGACGCGAGCTATAGCGATCGTGTGGCACGCCTCGAAGACAGCGATCGAAAAGGAACCGCGGTGACATATTCGCTGGGAAAGGTGGGGTAAAAAGTGTTGAATGGAACTGCGGCCTTACATGATAGATGATACACTATATAGGGGTCATGCCACTCCGGTTTCAAAATGTTTGGCGTTGTTCGTTGTTGATGCAGCGGCCCGTGACTTGCTTCGATTAGCTGGTAGCATAGGTTTGAGGTGAGAAGTGACCGCTGATAGCAAATTCACTCACCATGAGCCTTCCCAAAGCCCAACAAACAGATCCAAACTGCCAGCCCGGTGAATTCAGATGCTGTGAATGTGCATGTTTCGGACTTCCCAATCTTCCCAAGTAGCCGCCAAGTATGGAAAGGTATGAGCTCGAAGGACATGCTTATATATACTTCAAGAACCCTAAAGTTTACGCTTCTTACTCTGTTCCAACATGACACTTGCGGTCTACAGCGGATCGGATTAACACGTCCATTTTGCGTGGCAGGTACAGCACGGTCAGATTTCCACACCCGTTTAAAATTAGAATATTTATAAGGCTTTCAGGTGTGGAAATCCGACCGCAACTGAGGTGTCGACATGTTGCACGTAGGATTCTAAGGGCAAAGGGTTTGTGATGTTTTAGAAGTCAAGAAGCGCAACTTTTGGCACCCCAGTGCGTTATTACTAGGTATT